CTACAAAGCTTGCCCTGAGCTCATGTTTGTTGAATCATTTAATATGTAATTCAAAGTTAATATAGTTGAATGTCTTGGGGCACTATCTGCTAACTGAGGTTCATAAAACATAATTATTAATGATCTTGGTATGCCTAATACCTTTAAAACAAGTGTAGTTATAGCAGTTATGACAAGGCACATCATTCCAAGTGTAACCATGCCTGGCGCCAAGAGTGTGAACACAGTCTTCGTTTTTCCAGTCGTTCGGTTGCTGTGGGGCCCAGAACCTAAAACTACTTATTTCTTTGTTTGTCCACACAAAAGAGCCCTCCACACTTCGGTCATTGAGTCCAATCCAGGATCTCTCTCCGTTGGGACGGTGTTGAATATAGACGTTTTCATTCTGGTTGTGAACTGTTACCAAACTGGAACTCATCGAAGAACAGTTTGATACAGCAGTGAGCCACGAGCCACAAGTGCGACTTGTAACGTAACAGTAGCCACTAAAATAGCTCCAACCTGGCTCGCAAATACCTGGCAAATAGATGCAACATTTGTGGTATTAAGATACCCAGTTACCTCGAATAGTTATCACTCTATGTACCTTACGTTTGATAAACATAAATATATCAAGATCCTGCCTTTAATCTGAGCTAAAAAAACCATACTAACAGTATATACAGTGTACTAATTTATGCGCATCAAGTTCAAAAAGTGCTTCACAACTGCAACAAAAAAAACTTTGTCACACCGAGGCGTCTCAGTAAAAGAAATCCACCCTTGCAATGTCATCTACGAGTAATGAGTGATGGGATAATCCGGCTTAGGACTACCTTAAGCACCGCCTTTCAGGTTAATATTGTTGGTTAATATTAAGTTAGCTGTATCTAATATGTAAAAGAGTTTCTAGTCTAATAAGGATGTCGCCCTTTACCTGACAAGACAGTATATGATACGGAAAGAGGGTCGTACTTTGAGTCGTACAATTCCTTTGTTCACACTCGAGCCCCTGTTGTATTGATGTACTAAAATTTAAAATGGAAAATAAATAAATAAAAACAGATGATCATTTGCACATTTTTTAATTCACCAATCCTAAATTATCATGTCTTAGTCTCGACAAAAAATTAATCTGCTACTGACTACTGTTTGTAGTTTTATCTACTTTTAAAGCACTGCGTTTAGTCATTACGTCATTGAAACTGCTTTAGTGCCCATAACCTAAAATTTATTATCATTATTATTATTATTATTATTATTATTATTATTATTATTATTATTATTATTATTATTATTATTTGAAAGTAAGCTTTACCGCGAGAACCTTGTCTGCGGAAAAATTTTGCGATGCGAACACAACTTTGTTTTTTTGTTTAGAATTTTTTCTTAAACGTTCAAAGTTGCTGCCATTTTGGCGCACCATTGGTCTTAGTCTTCTCACTGAAATCCCCCGGGAACAAAGGAGATGTGACGTAAATTAAGGAACTATAACGTAAACTAAGGAAAACGTAACTTTAGAGGCAAGAAAACAGGTGTGGAGCCATGTTAGTTCAATCATTTTTTAGAACAAGTCTTTTTATTACTGAACCACTTCCTACACTTTATAATCGTTATTAGTTTACTGCCATGAAAGAAAGCTCAACACGGATCACAAGCTCACAATACCGTTCCACACCTCCAGGTTGTTTTCAAAGCGCTCACTTAGCAGTCACTGACTCACCTCAACCCAAGCGGTTATGGAATTGTGCAATGGATCCTGACCTCCCCCACTGGAAGTGTGATTCGCAGATACAAATACACTTGGGGCTTTCTTGTACAATTTGGTAAAGGAAATATCCTAATAAAAGAACATAAAATGAATTTCAAAATCGATGAAAAGAGCCGTCAAATTAACGNACTGAACCACTTCCTACACTTTATAATCGTTATTAGTTTACTGCCATGAAAGAAAGCTCAACACGGATCACAAGCTCACAATACCGTTCCACACCTCCAGGTTGTTTTCAAAGCGCTCACTTAGCAGTCACTGACTCACCTCAACCCAAGCGGTTATGGAATTGTGCAATGGATCCTGACCTCCCCCACTGGAAGTGTGATTCGCAGATACAAATACACTTGGGGCTTTCTTGTACAATTTGGTAAAGGAAATATCCTAATAAAAGAACATAAAATGAATTTCAAAATCGATGAAAAGAGCCGTCAAATTAACGTATGGTGAAAACGTGACATAAAATAAAGCAAAGCGAGATATGATTTATACTGACCTTGCAGAATCCGTTATTGTTCCAGGCTGCAGGCTTCTGAGAGTTTGCAAAGTAAACTGAGCTGTGTTCTGAGAACATGGGCTTGTCAAGTGACGAAAAAGCCAACCAGTTCTGTGAAAAGAGAAAAAAAAAACAAACAAAAAGAAAAATGGAAAGAAAGAGAAAATTCGCTACATCATGTTGTCAGGTTGCCCTGCACCGCTGGGCAACGACATAATTTGAGACAACTTAACGCACAACAAATATAATGCTGAGAATAGGACGTAAAAAGGAGAAAAAAATTGAAGTATACTACATACGACATAGATGTCCTCATGTGAACCCGCGTAATTTTGCAGTTCCCTTAAACATATTTTAAAGGAAGATCGCGTGATATCCTCCAACCAAATACTGGCAGCGTCTCTCTTCAGTCCTGCATGGTGATGTGCAACGGTCACAAAAACTGAAGGCTCCTTTGGAAACTAAACCCACACAGAAAAATTACCTGTATATAAGCAAGCCATGTTGTGAATAAAAGTTTAAATCTATAACATTTTAAATAACTTATTTTATAATAATCAATTAATTAAGCAGTTAAAACACTTCCTTACTAGGTAGTGACAAAGACAAAGTGAAGAAGGTGTCTCGTACTAGCTTTTCTTCAAGCAGGTAACGTTTTGTCTGCATCTGTACTTTAAAAACAGTTGTCCGGTTTTCATGTGTTATGACCGCATAATAAAAAAAGTACCTGTCTGTTAGTCTTGAATTGGATGCACCATGAACCGAACCGTGAGCACACCCTCTAACATGGTGTGTATATTGCCGGAGCGAGACTTCTATTTTTTGTGTGTGTATGTTGACGTAGTGTAGTGCAGCATTTGATCCTTTTACCAAACATAAATAAATAAATAAATAAATAAATAAATAAATAAATAAACAAACAAATAAATAAATAAATAAATAAATAAATAAATAAAAATTCTACCAAGCGAAAACAAAACCAATGGCGAGAGTGACACAACAGAGCGAGGCCTCAGTTAAAGTGCGCCTTTAAGAAACAATTATTTTCATAAATGACTAGATAAGTACACTAAATCTATTAAATTATCCATAATAAACAGCTAAAAAATTAATATTTATTTACTAAGAAGGCTAAAAAATTTCATGAGTGTTAAAAAGACATTAATTATAACTGTCGTAACAGCATATATTACTTCAAAGACATGAGTGTTACGTGCAACGCAGCACTTGGGGCAGATTGATTTTCACGTGCTGAAAATGTTGACGTAGTAAAGTTTAGCGAAGGCACTCTGTTCGTGTCCATAGAGCTCAGGGACTTGACGAATTTGTATTTATTGAGATTAAAACAGAGCAGATAGATGCTGGTAGATAATTCCATAACTAATAGGTAAACGATTAAAATAACTATTTTAAAACAATGTAGTGCGGCACTTAGAAATTGACAAATCTAAAACTAAGCTGCTGTACAAAATCATTATGACAGATATTGTAGTGACCTAATTGGCATCTGAAGTAGAATTGAAAAGAAGATCATTGATTTCATTAAATAAAAAAATAGGCAAAAGGTTCAGTTTAATATTATAAGCCTCTCCTGATAGCTGGTAGAATCCGTTCAACTTAAGTTTCACATAAATTTTGTAGCTCTTCATTGAAGACTTTCAACTTTAGAGATATTTCCTATAGATTGAGGTGCCCAGATTCAGGGGAGATCTGTCAAATGTAAAAATGTAAGGTACAAAAGTCTTCTGGTGTCTGTCAGTGTCAAAATCGCAGCAGGTGTGTCTTCGAAGAAATGCTAATGTTCAGTAACACTGTACTTATGAGATAACATTGTTTATGTACTGGTTCCACGTAAGGTCACCAGTAACCGTTACTCCAAAATCTTTTTGCGAGGTTACAGGAGACAGAGCATCAAATCCAATTGAATTTTATAGCCGAAACAGACTCGGGTTTCGTTTGCGTGGAACGGATAAACTTCGCATTTAGAGCTATCCCACAGTGCATAAATAAATGTGCCGAATTTACGCTAATTAACCTCACCGCGCTTATTTGAAGGCAGTGCTTAATACCATAATAATACCGCTTAGTACCGTATTTACGCGACTAAGCGCCGCAGCGCTTATTAAACTTCCTCGCCCCCAAATGCGGCGCTTATTCGAGAAATTACTGTACATATGTTTATTGGCAACTTAAAAGAGTTTATTACATTTAGGGCAAGTTGTTATTACATTTAGGACAAAATATTTTTATATTTAGGAATTTATTACATTTAGGCCTTGGCCAACTTGGAAGTAGAACGATAGTAATTAGGGACCTTAAGCATCGACGACGAAATGGGACGACGACGCCGACCGGAATTGAAGTGAAATTTTTCCGCGCTAACCTGGGCATGTGTAAAGTTGTTAAAACGTCGTCCAACCTTCGTCGACAACGAAATTCAGGGAGGTTTGCCGTCGTCGCTAAAACGTAGGTATAAAACTATACTTTTTACGTGTAAATCACTCTTTTTCTCCCTAGTCATTCAGTGCAACCAGGCAAAACTTTAGTAAACCAAGGTAACAATAAATAAAGTAAAGCACATTTTAGAGCAGTGAAAAAATCGCTTACTGAAGGAAAACGCACTGTCTTGCATGTTGTTCCAGTCCACCACTGTGACATGCGCACCTCTCCACTGACCCCACCTTCTGGGGCTCCTTGATAAGCTATCCAGTCTATGGACACATTAGCACGGGACCTGCGCTCGTTGAAACCAGCCGCCATCACGCACGCAGTGAATTGTTCGTAGGTCACATCTTCAATCCACGACACAGCAGCATCGTGGACGTAATTCATGTCCCTTGTATCGATGTGATTGACAGTTACCTGCACTTGAACGGGTTTATCAGGGTAGAACACAAATGGTCGGAAACCAATTACTTCACAGTGAGAGTATCCCAAGGAAGGTATATGAGGCATGTGACGCCGGTCACGCTGAAATGGGAACCCTGCAAAGTAGTACAAAAACGCAAATGTAAAGAAAAAAAAAAAAAAAAGAAATGAGAGGGTTCGAGTTGTCATGAGGCGATTTGTCTCGAGCTCCTCTTTAGACAAGATTATATATTTTTTTAAGTCATAAACTGATGTTCACCTTACTAAATGACCTCAGTTTTTCACTTTTTACGTTACTAAAACGACGAATTTTTTTGCTTTAATTAAATCGTGTCACGGTAAAATTTCCTCGTTTGTGCTTTTGCTATAGAAATATGTTCAGAGATCAGCTTCGCTTTAATAACCAGTTTATACCTTTAAAACGACTTTCAACTGGTACTGATGATAGAGATTCAGAAGATGTGATATCGATACGTTGTTAGTGAAGACTTTTTGACGTTTCTTTTTTTCGGTGTTGTTAATTTGGGAGATTGAATTAAATGGCAATTGATAACATAAATTACGAGATCACTGATACCTTCACAGCTCCCAGGATGCTGCACAGTAAAGTTCAGCTGTAACAAACACATTTCCTGCTTAAAGAGACACTTGTTGTCATACGTCGTTCCGTTAGAAGAACAGATAGGCTCTTGATAAGATGGGCAACTGTCTATGCACACACAGCGGGCATCGTATGGTCCAAAAGCTTTGCATAGACCATGATAATCACAGTGTACGCCATCTATACAAGGATCCAGGTCTGTGTAAAACAAAAGATGCATAATTATCATTAATTTTGTGTGCATAATATATCTAACGGAAAGTGCTCATACCGATTTGGTCTATAAGAGTATTAATCAAGAGCAGGGCTTGATTGTTGTTTTGTTGTTGTTGTTGTTGCTGTTGTTGTTGTTGTTTTTTTTGCTTTAACTTTGATAGATGCTATCATTCTTATTATCGGGAATTCATGTTGAGCTGACGCTTATAAATTAAACACCAATCTTAAAGGATCTGTTAGTGTTAACGAGACGAAGTGACAATATTAGTCTTTAAACTAGAGCCTAAATTAGCTAAGAAATAATTCAAGAGAAGTAGATTTTAAATTCTTCAAGTAAAAGGGAACAAGTGTATGGAACAAGTCCTAAATGACTTATTGCGTTGAAACGGCATTACTTGACATCAAAGCAGGAGGTCGTATGATTATTTTTTTGCCGTGCACCATATGATCTTCTAAATCCTAATAATCTCAAAAAAAACAATTAGCTTTTCTCTTTGAGTTTGTTTCATGAATGGTCGCAGAGTTATTACATTAGCGGTTAACTTTTAACTTTTTAACGGTTAACTTGGTAAATTATTACATTACTGGGTGATATACCTACCTCCAGTAATCAGATAATCGACTTTTATGGTATCCTTGCTCTTGGCTTCATAGACTCGGACACAAATCTCTGTATTTGCGGTGGACGTGTACTAAGGGTAGAAAATCGAGATTGCTGATAACATTATTACTCCAAAGTAGTGTTGAAAATTCTACTAAACAAACGATCAAAACGTAAAGGTGATAAGACACTTTGCCGAAAACTGACGTAAAACTGCACGGTTAAACACAGATATAAACAGTTGTTTGAATGTTTAGGAATCAGTAAGAGGAATCGTATATGCTAAAAAAAAAGTTGATTTGGTTAACCATTTTATTCATCTTCCAATTCCTTTGAACCAGTTATCACTGTCACTCCATCAAAAATGGAAATCGATTCTGTGCAATAAAGAAAGTCCACTGAATCTGGGAAATGAAAGAAGATAAATACATTCAAACAACCTTTGCAAGGACTCAGGCCTTTGTAATATTTCCTGTTATAAGAAATACTGATACAATTTTTTCCCCAAATTTACAGAGCTTGATGTTGTTGTTCCTCTGAGGGACAACAATATAGCGGCCAGAAACCAACAAAAATGTCGGTTTTTGCGATGGCACAATCTTAAAAAAAGGAGAAAATTTTCTAACCCAATATCCGGCAGATTCCTATAGGCCCTTCCAGATCCTTCAAATGCCGCGTCACGCAAAAGGTTAAAAATTAACAGCGTAGTTTATCACTGACAAAACGAAGAGCCCTTTCGAACAGACAATTTGTAAAAATACGGGTTATGCTGCTCTAAAACTGATGAATTTGTATGAATTTTGATGACGTCACGTGAAAACCACCAAGAATATAATACTAGCGTGGCGTTAAACTTTGTGAAAAGATTTTCTTACACTTTCTGTCTTTCTTGTCAATCTGGGATTTCTTTCATTTATTCACGGCATGGATTGATCATATTTATTAAGATTCAACGCTAAATTAATCTTTTGCCATCTGCAAGTTTGTAAAACAATTTTACCTCGACCCAAGCGGTGATTGCGTTACACCCAGACAAACGCGAATCGTTGTTGATGCGTTTTGCCGTCACTATCACCACAGGAGGAGCATAGAATTCGTCTGTAAAGTTGATATTCTGTCAAAGAAAGATAAAGCTTGTTAAAAACAACTTTTTTTTTTTATTTAAGATAAATGGCAAAAGATGAGAATTATAAATAAAATGAACAAATGACTTTAACAAGCAAGTTTCGACTTGTTTCTCAGACTACTCCATGAATTAACGCACAATGCAGAATATTCAGAACAACTTAAGGATTAGTTGTTTATTGGTTCTGCTAAAAAGGAACATCATCCCGCTTTCGATTTTCTTAATGCAAAGAAATTTTAGTGCTCCATTTAGCAACCTAACAATTTACTTTCATACCTGGCAAAAGGCGTAGTTAGCTTGCTGAGATAACAAGTTATAATTTGTAAACAAGAGGCTATCAGTTAATGTGAAGTTTCCAACACTGAGGTTTGTATAAGCCATCCAGTTCTGCGGCAATGGAAAAAAAATCATATTTTAGAAATTTGGAGCCGTTTTTGCCATATAATGTTACTAAATCAGCTGTCCTCTATTAAGCTAAATGGGGGGAGTTAGAGGCACGCCCCCCCATAACTCAAAAACTGCATATGATAATATAGCTAGACCAGATAATTTGGTCATAATAATGTACTCAACATATCTAACATCTTGCGATAAACTGACCGACAAAATTATGTAATGTGACTTCAGCTTGAGTATAATAGAAGGGAAGGTGTCTGATTAAATTGCGAAGTAGGCTAACACTGATTAATGCCCTTAACAACAGAAGTGGCAGCATGATGAACAGGAGGAACTGGAACTTTCAATCGGGCATGCATCTGTAAGAAATGAGAGCATTTCAATCCAGTTTCGTCGATGGAGTGTTCGAATTCAACTCCACTATCGTGTCATTAAGGGAAGGCTGAAGACACTTGTCCCACTAAAGAATATTTCTAACAATTTCGTAGCGATAAGCCTTACCGATATTACAGAGTCTATCTTGATGTCAATTCAAATAAAACTAACTGAACACTGCACCTGAATTGCAGATCTTAAATAGACACCCTTAGGATATTTGAAGAATACATTTTCACTGTTTGATTGATTTTGAACAAGTTAAATGTATTTGTTTTGCTTATTTGTGTGTAGAAGAATATTCTGAAAGCACACTTAATGTGCCAGCAATAAAATTCAGAGGGAAATGAACATTCTTGGAAAATTATCTCAACACTTCTGTACATTAATTTTCTTCAAATCCACATCTTTTATCAAATAAGAGCCTCAAAAACCTTGATTGCATTTTTACAATTTTCTCTTTAAATTTTTTTTAATCATTTACGTCAATCAGAAAATCTAGAAAAAAAGAAAAAAAACGCATGAAAGTGAAAATTCCAAATTTTGCAAAATATGGCTGTCAACAATCGGTGGCAGAGGACACTTTGACACTGGGGACAAATGTTTCCAGACAAGTTTTAGAAAGATCGCTAAGCTTGGTACTCATTAAGCATGAACCTTAAGTTTGGAGCCTGGCAAAAGCTCCTTCCCCGCGGTCTGCATAACACTAAAGTTTTACGAAAGAAGGAACCTGATTTCAATTCATTTAAACGAGTACTAAAATATAGCTCATTAAATCGTTTAATTACCCATACTAATGTTCAAGCTAGAAAGCGTTCCTGCTGACTTCCAAAGCAGTAAATGGTAACAGAAATATACTTAGGGAATGTATTTTTACTTCAATGTTTTACCAAATTCGAAATTACATATTAAAAAGAACTGGACTTAAAATTTTGGCATATTTATTTATTGTATAACTTAATACGTAAGAATTTTACAAATCTATGATAACTTCGACCATTTTTCTTATGATTATGATAAACTTAAGAGCAAATAAGCGTCTTTGGGCAGCTCATTGCAGAAAAAATAATTGAATGGAAATATTAAAAGATCTTTGAAAAGCAATTTAAAATTTCAAGCTCACAATAGCAATGCCTTTGTGAAGTCCGTCGAAAATCTTTACTTCCCTGAGGCAGATTTTGAAACTGTCCCCAGTCAATTCTTCCACCCAGACTGCCATGGCGTCTTGAGGTCTCTCAGGAAACTGGTGACTTGGAGTTGCAAGCAAAGTTGGAGAGGTCAAAAAACGCTTTAAATAAAAAAAGAAGAAGAAAAATGGATTAGTTTTAACTGAACAATTAATAATATTACTATAACAACAACAATAATAATAATACTATAATACTATTATAGTGTTAAAAATAAGGAGAAAAATTTTTCCGAATTACAAATAAAAGAGCACTGAAAATTCTAGACAGAGGAAAGTGACACACACACACACACAAAATGAGAGCTACAATGTATTTCCGTATAGTACCGGCACGCACACCGCGTTTGAAGAACAACGTTATCAAATTCGTTAACAAAGGAAAGGCAAAAAATAATAAATCTGTACACGGTGACTGACTGTAAAATCTCTTTGTTTTGCAACCTTAATATTTCTAAATTAAATTCATTGTAACTAAAAATTTACATCAATTTCAACAATGTTTGATGCGTTCCGTGTTATTGTTTTATAAAATAATAGATTAGATAGCAATTGGAAACTAACTTTACCATTATAAAGGCTAATGTTTCATTGCTTATATTCAAGACTTGTTGTATGTGAATGCAAGTGTCAGTGTATGACGGATTATATGGGTAGGTATAAGTGTAGTTCATGAAGAGCACATCACTCTTCGGAATGGTGGGGGCTGGTGTTGAAAGGTTGACTGGTTAAGTTTAATACACCCTGGAGTCCTACATAACCGTGCAAACGTCTTATGGTTGGAGGGGGCAGGGAAAGGTGTGTTAGACGTCTCTTCGCTTTCTTTGTGGCTGGTATTGTCATTGCGTGAATTGGTAATTGCACGGATTAGTAGGTTATTCCACGCATAAAAAAAAAAGAAAAAAAAAATCGATCAAGTTAGAGCGTAGTGTCAACCAAAAGATTATTTGTGCTTAATATTTCTTTATTCAAATGCGTTGCAAATCGATCATTATGTGTCTGTTATATAATGTTAAAGAACTTCTGTCGGATAGGAAAATGATTCTACAGAAGTGAACACACGTCCAGCGTTTGAACAAATAATTGCATGATGAAGGGTCAGGACAACGTTTTTCAGCATCAAAGGAGGCATGCATTATGTTCTTTGCGTTTGAGCCAAAGAAAATGTTTGACAATAATATTATTTTAGAGTGTAATCTGTCAGGAATCCAAGAATGTCCTTTATTGCAAAACGAAATCGGATTTGGCTTCTCAACGGCAAGATGAAAGTTCCATTTGTGTGGCAAAGGCCGAGTGCGATTAGCAGGGAACCACACCAACAATCAACTTTTAATTGGCGAATCAAAACAATTTATCCTACCTTCTCCTCTAATACATTCAACTGCGCTTATGACTTAGCCGTAACACTGGGCGTCCCAAAAACAAACAATCAAAATGCAGCAAAAGAAAAAGGGAGAAGGATGTATTAACAAACTGACCTTGTTCATTCAATGGTTTTATCATAGGAAAAACTCTCTTTTAATATACATCTTTCTGAGAACTCGAAGAAATGATACATTTCCAGACTATGATTAATAGAAACTTTCTCCACATGAGTAGTAACCTTATGCATATCGTTATTTTGTTCATCTTGCAAGACCACTTTGTCTGACCGTTCTGGATTCTTCCTTTTTGCAATCAATCACGTTACTTTGTACAGTGAACATATTCTTTTCAAAATTAAACTAACCTGAGGAAAGTAGATCTTCTTACATTCTGTTCCGGTAGTCCAAGAGTCCAAGGAAGTGGTTCCTAGTTGTGCCCCCGGAGGGGCAGATTGTAGGGCAATCCAGTTTATCTCAGCAGTTGTATTTGAGCCGTTGCTGTACTCGTAGATGCAAGCGCGGAATTGAGTTCTATCTACTGATTCCACCCAAATAGCAGCACCATTACCACGGGTTTGGCTGTTCACTGAGTGTCCAGACGAAGCAAACACTTTCACTTGCTTTCCACCAGAGAACGGTTTAGCGAATGTGATTTTCTCACACGCGAACAACCCTGGGTTCCTGGTAGTTGTATTGATTTTTCCAGCTTTGAAAATGACTTCTGTAAAAGAATAATAAATTTTTAGGCTAAAATAGCCTCCTGTTACCTCTGGGCTATTGCATTTGGTAGAGTTATGAAAAGTTACACGCACTGAGCGTAGCTAGAATCCTTAACGTTTGAGTATAAGCTCGTATTCAGGACTTTCCTATTTCCGTGCGTGCCCCACCTCCAATGCCTTCTACCTTACTCGAAATGAAACTTCCACATTATTTTACCAAAAAAAATTGCCGACAACTATTAGTATGTTAGAGCGCATATTCCTAAAGAAACAAAACATTATCCAATATACCTTGACTTCCTTCACTAAGAAGCCCAGCAGTAAAAATTGCGTAGAGGACAAACGGAAGGTGTTGCTCTCCCACCATCTTGCTTTAACTGAAGAAGTGCCGCTCCCTCTCATGCGAATTAGAATAATATACACATTGTCCCCACGTGAAGGCATCATTTCTGTTGCGTGGACAGTAAGGAGCAGTGAAGCACTAATTTTCCTTAAATGGATATGATTTGTCGTGGTCCTAGCGTTGAGGTCGTGGAAAGGGGGGAAACCACCTACCGGCATAGACTTACCATATAGAGACTCTAGTCGAGTTGATTTATTCTATTTGGCTAAAATTATAATTACCCTTTCTGAGAACACGTAAAGCTTATGTTAGCACCCATGCGCTTTTTTATTTCACCCAATTGTCCCCCTCTGACATTTTTGCCCTTTTGAAATAATAAAAAAAAAATCATGAGACGTTTAGTGGGTAAGTATCTTACTGCCAATTATATTAATATACATTCCAGTTGCAGTTGTTGTTTACAGAAAAGCCAGTTGAAACTTAAAAACTTTACAAATGCTCATTTTGATTCTTTACCTTTTCCTTTCCTTTTATAGAGAACTTTAACAGTCTATAAGATATTTTGCTGACTTCTTTTATCAAATTCTCGTGATCAATTATTTTCACTGATTCACTGCGAAATCATCGTTAGATAATTGAGCCGGGTTAAGTTCCACTCCTTGAAGTACCAGATCATGCAATGATCATTTGATTATTTGTAGTTCTTTTACTTACACGAGCAAGTAGCAAACTGTCTACGCCTTAAAATTGAAATCCATTCGTATGCTCTCCATAAAATAATTCAAATCAGCCCTGTCAAATTATAGCGTGAGTGAAGTGAATAGAAGGAAAGGCTTTTCTTACTGTCTGGATATAATTGTTTTGTTTTTTTTTTTTCAAATCCTTTTGTTTTTTGGGTATAAGCTTAACAAGAAGGGATTGGCGGACAATTCATTTGTACAATTTATGTTGTTCAGAAATGAATCATTAAAGCTAAACGATAAGGTTTTAAAGGAAGTTGTGCCCTCAAAAGTATTCTTTATTATTATTAAAGTTATTAAAAAAAAACTAAATAACGAAATTAATTTTTATAACTTTAAGGTCCATCCCTGTCGACAGTTTTGCACGAAATCATCTTAAGCCACAGCTTACCCAGTGTGGCGACGGCCATCTGTACTGTTTGGGTACGAGTTCAGGTTTATATGGAGTTTCAGCTTTATAAACAGCTGATCTCTCGCATCACAAACAGTCTCGTTTACGAAACTTGAACAGAATTACATTTATATAGTTTGCGTGCAGTGCCTGTTGTACTTATCAGTTTGCACTACGTAACAGAGAAAATGACCTGCAAGTTAAGTATTGCTGGGCAAAATGACTCACCAGACAAGCCATACTTCAAGCTCATACAGCTTCTGCACGAATAACGTAAAAGGTCTTCACTGAAATAAATTGCAAGGGTTCTTTTGTTGGTTCTTACAGTGATTCTAAGCTTTACAAAGAGAAGTAGCTAGATTCATAATGAAACAAACTAAAAATTGAGACAAACTGTTTTTATTGATCCATCATTTTAACAATGCCAAAAACTAATCAATTGTAAGATTGCAGCGACGGCTTAAGGGCACGTTCAATAATGCCGATATATCAACTTGTTACATACAATAAGTGTTTGTCAGTTCTATAAGCTACTGGAAAAGTGTTTCTGAACTATTGTCTAGTGTGAACTATTAAGCTAGGAAAGGACTTTAAACTTGGAACTTGTAAATACATATGGAAATTAAAAACTACTTTATTGCAGCTAGAGAGTAGTATGTTTGAATTTGTTTGTGCAATAACGGATTTAAATTAAGAAGGTACTCGGGATTCGGATTTAAAGGTTTTTTTTTTTTTTTTTGGCGGATTTTGGCGAATTAGCCAGAAAAGGGAAGCGCGGATCACTTATTATGTTTGTATTTAAAACATGAATGTTGAGCTGACTTTTCTAGGCCTTCCAGACATTTTAAGCTTAACTACAAGGCTCTTCCAACGGCTTCCGACTGTCGGTATGTTATATCTCAGTTTCAAGAAAAGAAAGACTTCCTGCCACATCTTATTCGCTTTTCTCCCTCTCTACATATATATATACTCATTAAGAGTCGGACATTCAAGGCCTGTTTCCCCAAGCACCCGTCATTTGGAATTTTCTAAGTGGCACTACACGTTGACTCTCTCGCTAGGAATTTAAGCAAAACATTCATAATTCATTTCTGAAAATCCTCACCGCTGAGAATGATTATATGGATTCAGTAGCTCTTTTCCCAAGAACGCGCGTTCTATAATCAAGCCTTCCTATCGCAATTACTGTTTGTAATTCAGCTAGTTTTCGAAAACAAGTGTGTGCTTCAACTAGTGAATTTTTCTTTACTTTATTCATTTAATTAATTATCTATTTATGTACTTTATAGAAACATTGACATCTAACTGATTCTAGGCTTTCTGTTAATTGTGATCACTGCCCGCCGCGATTAGCCTGTGCTATTTGCGGGTAGAGTCAATCATGTAGGGTAATGGTATTTTAACGAATTGTAAACATAATCTGTTTAATACTTAGCTATAGTATGTTAATTTTAGTTTGTAAACCGCTCTGAAGCAATAAATAACTGAAGTTAAAAGTTGAAGTTGAAAGTTATTGATGAACGAAAGACAAATCCACTAGCTAGAACGAGTATTTTGACCTGAAACTGATTTTTCTGCAGTTGACTTTTTTTTAGCTTTTGTTCAGTGGTGTGGGCTGTTTAGTTGTTGGAAATCCAGAATGGATATATCATCATTCAGTGATCCGGCGCTTTAACCTAAAAATTCACCTTTTTCCATTCCAGGGAAATTATCAAAACAGGCAGGGCCCCAGTGACCGGCAATAAAACATTTCTTGGTGCATTGATGGCACGTGGTTTGAGAATTCTGCAACAACAGAGATTTTAATCTATATCTAGAACTTTGCTTAGTGTGATTTATGAGGAAAAGGAAAAGGAAACAGAAACTTTTAAAGCGATAATTCAACACTGTAAAGAACAGAATGACAAAACAGACGCATCGTAAGGGTCGATTTATTTGTTTACGTATAAAACTATAATCAAAACAAGCCAACTAATCCGCATGTTAAAGGTACGGCGGCTTTTCATGGTTCTATTATTAGTAGTAGACAAGTGCGAAACAAAAGAAACAGTAGAAACAGACTGAGGTCATAATCGTCATAGTAGCTGCAGTTATACAGGCTATTTTAACCCCTGGTGGGCCTTTCTTGCCCACCGGGAAAGCATCATTATATTAAGGCCCATCTCTCCCAAGAGAATTTGCTCGGGAAAATTCGGGAAAATGAAGGCAAGAATTATCTCTACAGCCCTTAAGGTAACTCGCTGAGCCCATATCAGGCGTCCTGCTGCCTTCTTTTTGACGTAAAATCATGTCCGCAACCCAGCTGAAAGCTGGGTATACAGGACATTGGATTATACGAGTTTAGGTATAGTGGTTTCAAAAGCACCTCAAGAAACTCGGAAAATCTTATTTTCGTCAGTGAGGCGAGATCCGAATTCTGTTTTACCGTTATTTATGCACTTATACACATAAACAGAATAAGGTCACCAACTTTGGAGACCAAGATAACAATATATACCTAGATTGATAAGCGTGACACACCACCTTAAGAAGTGAAGTGGAAATACAGTTATAGTGTTTTGTAACTGTTAGCGTCTTCTACATGCGACACAGTGAAAAAACGACATTGGTGAGCCTGCACGGCTTTCAGCTCATGCATGTGACTAGCCAGTTTGTTCCCGTTGTTTACTTTCTGAGCGGGTAGATTATGCTGTGGAGGTTTCATAAGGTTGATTAAGCAAATACTTGCCGCTTCCCTCACATTGAGAGGTCATGAAGCTGGTCTGTTTCATGTTATCGCTAATAAAATTAGTGATGCGGAGGGTTTATAAAAGGGGTAAAAAATGACTGAAAAAGAATTTTACAAGGACGCTTAGAGCAAAATTGGGTCTATGTTTTTCTTCCCCATGGGGAATTTAAAGGCATGCCACGATCACAATATCGATCAAAACTCAGAGCGAACCCGACCCGCTTTGGGTAAGAGGATTACTGTAACCACAACTTGGTCGATGGCTGTGCCCTACCGGGGACCAGTGACGTCATTCAAAATGAACGTCGTCATCAATTTCACTGCAAGTAGTGCAGATAAATTATCTTATCTTAACAGAATACAAATTAATCCTTAATTCATGCTTGAGGTCCGAATAGTTAGTACAATAAACATTCATTTTCGATTTGGTATTATTTAATTTGTTCGATTTTGGGACTATTAGAACTGAATAAAAAGCAACTCACTGATGAAAAGAGGTGGTTTATTGTGTTCTTTTTAACATGTGCCGAACTTAACGTGAGGGTTAAATGCATGTGAAGTGCGACGTTTGAATCAATTTTAATTTTTGTATATTTAAAAATATCTAAAAAAATATTTCAATGTACCCTGACTTCCTTGAGCAAGAAGCATAGCTGCAGCAAAAATTGCGAAGAGGACTGGCGGGACGTGTTGCTCTCCCGACATCTTGCTTTAACTAAATCAATACTTCTTTTCTTAAAAATAATGTTTCTATTTTGTTCGAAGAAAGTCATTATTTCTGTTGCGTTGAGAGTAAAGGGAAGT